GTTTTTGCAACTTAGTCATATTGGTAGGAAGACTTAGAGGAACGTACCTTGTCCTGAGTCCATTGTATGCATAATCATTTCCAAAGTCGGACCGTAGACGTGGTACATTCCCAGACGTTTCACCGGCATCGTAGTCGGCATCATCAGTGTGTTTTACTAGTCGTAGCAACATATTATAACTCGTCAAAGAGACAAGTGAAGCCGATCCTTTGATCAAACGTGTGCTAAACAGTTAGAGTATCTCTCCTTCTGCCTTCTCCTATTCACATTTCCTATATCCTTTTATCACGCCTTCATCATCACAATTTTTACTTGCTTAATTAAATGTGGTACGGTGTGCCCTTTTTTTAGCGGCTTTCATGAGAACGCTCCTCAGTCCATGCTGGCCTTCTCACCCCCCTTCATCCTTGTGCTGGGAATGTTGATCAGAGTCTTCCAATATTGAACCTAACCAAAGCAAGCAGTACCACAACATTTGTGGGTTGGCACACAAGAGACTAGGACATCGGAATTCATAGACTTGGTATTAAAGATAGAAACAGAATAGACGCGGCGGTGATGGGAGCTAGTGGGCTGACAGTAGTTATTATAAGAGACGTCGTCCATGTGGCAAAGTCCTGACCATGACACTTACTCAGAGGCTTGAGCTTCGAATTAGTCACCCAGACGCAGGGTAGGGTCAATAACGCCTCGGGTGGCACAGATGGGGGGCAGGGGTCGAGTGAAATATGTGAACCAGGGAGAGGGCAGATAAATCTTACGGGGTAAGATAGAGACTGTGGTAAGACCTGGGGAAAAGGACTACGTAAGAATATGGCAGACTCTGATGAACATTCCCAGCACAAGGATGAAAGGGGGTGAGAAGGCCAGCGTTGACTGCGGAGCGTTCTCATGAAAGCTGCTAAAAAAGGGCACACCGTACCACATTTAATTAAGCAAGTAAACATTGTGACGGTGAAGGTGTGATAGGAGGATATAGGAAATATGAATAGGCCAAGGCAGAAGGGGAGATATCACAACCGTTTAGCACACGTTTGGTCAAAGGATCGGCTTCACATGTCTCTTTGACGAGTTGTAATATGGTACTGCGAATGGTAAAACTCACTGACAATGCCGATTAGGATGCCGGCGAAACGTCTGGGAATGCGTTCCTCTTAGTCTTCCTACCAATATGACCAAGTTGCGAAAACAAGGTCAAACAACTTCTGTAGAATATTCTGTCCACTATGTGCCAGTAGGCATTACGTGAAATGTATACTGATTGATGCAGTGAGAAACATACCACGTTATTTTCAAGAGGAACTCCAGCATAAGCGATCTCACAAGCAAGCCAGATTTGTTTTGAAGAGAATATACCTAAAAATAAGGGAACATAAGTTTAAGAAGTTTTCTAAGGTTTCAAGATAAAAGTATGAATATATATACATATAGGTGAAAATTGTTCAAGACCAACAATAGGTACATCAAATCTTAGATATGAAGACCTAGATAGTGTGGTCTTCTGTTTGGTCGCAGTCTCCTCTAGCTGTGTTGGTTCGACCTTATTTTTGCAACTTGGTTTGAGCGTCAAGGAGACCTTGTGGTAAGTACCTATTCCCGTGTCCTCTGCCATAGTATTCGTGATTTCCAGCATTGAACCATTGGCTGAGTACATTCACAAACGTTTCACCGGAATCGTAAGTGAGAAGCGCCATTGTAAACACAGTTACAACTTATCAAAGTGATAAGTGAAGGCAGTCCCCTTAACCCATTTTCTGTTCAACCGTTATGGCATCACTCCTTACCTTTATTTTTTGGTTCTACCCTCTAGTGTCGCATCACTTTCTCTCAACCCCACCTTATATGGCACACACAATTCTGTGCTCTCGTTTGCTCTAATGTCGCCTAAGAGTGCGTCGCTACAAGTGGGTTTAGTGAATCGTA